AGCACAGGCTGGAGCAGCCCCCGGCTCCTGCCCGACAGGTCGGGCCGTTCTCAGACGCACCGCGGGCCTGAGGACGGGGTGTGCCACTCCCACTGTGGTGTACTTTCAGGACCTTGGTGGGTGCCTCCAAATCACTGCTCAGACCCACCCCATGGCCCGGCCTCCTGAGCCGCAGACGCAGGCACTGCCGTGAACAACGCCCTCACGTCCTACCCTCCCAGCTTTTCTAGAAAGGTGGTTCTCATTCCCTTTCTCCGGCTTCTGCCCCAGTCACATTAGCTACACATTCCCATCGACAATTTCTCTTTGTGGTTACTCTGAAACTAGGAGAGAGAAAGGGGGGCTTCTTCTAGGTGGGGAACATCTGCTCTAAGTGTTAAGGACACCCCACGTCTGAGATGTTGAGCAAAATCTGGGGAGGCTGCTCCTGGAGCTCTTCTGGGTCTTGATGGAAGCTGAAGGTTCTGCTCCTGAGCACGAGTCTGTGGCAGCGAGAGGCCCTGATGCAGGTCCTCCGCCACAGATGCCACTTCCCTCCTTCCCCTGGCCCCCGGGCGGCCAGCTGAGAGCCTTTCTACCTGCCATGCGACAAACACCACCTGCTGACAACAGGTCACTCTGCATGGGCAGCTCCACCTCAGGGGTGCTGGGGGCCAGGGGCACAGGCTGCAAAGGGGAGGAAGTACAGAGAAGGGCGAGGTCCTGCTGCCCGCTGTCATCACCTTTGTCTTTTCTAAGGTTTGAAGGTGGGTGATGAGCCCCCAAACACCCTGCCCATCTGCACGGGGCCTGTGTGGTCCTGAAGGCAGGCAGGGACACAGGACAGAGACTAGCTTCTGCTCTGGCTTTTGCTGCTAAAGCTGAGGCAGGAGAGCTCTGGGGCACCACGAGGCCCATGTTCTGACTTCAGTGCGTCTCTGCTGCCCGGTGCTCTCACAGAAAGACGGCCAGCCTCAGAGGGGCCGTGCTCACTGCCTGTTTGCAGGTGCTGGGCCCTGTGCGCAGCATGGACTCCCACGGTCTCCTTTGATCCTCATGACAAATCTGGGAGGGCGGTTCCACCATTACTTCTGGTTTTCGAATAAGGGAGCTAGGCTCGGAGAGGCTAGGCCACTTGTTCAAGGCCAACCAACTAATTAGTGACAGAGCTAGGGACTGGACTCTGGGACTTCCTGACCCCAAAGCCCCTGTTCTGCACCACCGGGCGGCATGGCCACTGGAGAGGAAACGTCACCAGAATGGAACACCACTCCAAACCACAACCGAAACGCAAAACACCAAAAATAACGTTCACAGTGAATACGACCTACAAAAGTACCCTAAGACGCTACCACCATTTCTCAAACCGGGGAGGCGGGGCTCCCTGCCCACGGTCCCTGGGGCAAAGCGGTGGCTTCAGGCTCAGGGAGGGGGGCCAACCATCTGATGCTACGTTCAGTCAGGGTGGGACCAGGTTCCTTCCAGGTCCCTTCTAAGACTGAGTTCTTTTTTTTCAGTTCTACGTTTTTGTTTGTTTGTTTTAAACAGGCTTAATTTCTGAGAGCAGCTTTAGGTGCAAGGCCACAGTGAACGGGCCGCGCAGAGTTCCCATGTGTCCCTGCACAGCCTCTACCAGCGTCTGCGTCCCCGCCACGACGGTGACAATCTATGAACCTACAGTGACGCCGTCACCATTCACCTTCGGAGTCACTCCTGGTGTGCATTCCATGTGTTTCAGCAGGTATATAATGATTTGTACCCATCACTACACCCTGCGGAGTTTAAATGCGGGATGGGAGGAAGTTGTGCTTGGGAGTGGGGGAGGGGTGAGGACTGACCTGAGGCCCCTGGGGCAGTCCCAACACCCCCCCCCCCGGGTCCAACAGGAATGTGCACTGCGTTCCACACTGTTGAATCAGGGAGCATTGTCACTTAAAAACAAGTAATTGGATCTTGAGCTAATGGAAGGATTTCTACTCTGGAGCCAAGAATATCAATTTGACACCTGCAAATTCTTTCTGACGAAAGGGATTTTCAGATAGTCTGCAAGGAGCGGGCGGGACCAAGCAAACTGCCACTTATCCTGAACAATGGAAAAGCAGAGACAACCGAGGATGCCAGAAGGGTGTCGACTACCAAGCTATCAAGGGGACAGAACTGAGGAACAATGACAGACAAGACATCCCCACGAGGCCATGGTCACGTGACCTGCCCCATCCCTGAAGCCCTGCCCTTCCCTCCCTGCAACCTAGCTCTTGCATCATTAACGCCTGCATACACTCTGTCTGTCCCCTGAGGCCGGTGGCTCTCACCAAGGCTGAGAAACGTGGGTTTATCACAATCATACTGGGAGAGAAGAACATTTGCAACAAGGTGATGACTCTAATGTCCCCAATATAAAGAGTTTCTAGAAATCAACGAGAAAAGTGAACGAAAGGTCTGGAGGCTGAAGGGAGAGCTTTTTCAGAATACATGCCCCTCTCCACACCAAGCAGAACCCTTCTCAAGGGCTTGTGGAACAAGAGAAGGTGGCCAGAAACAGGCACGATGACTCAGTTAGACAGGCGCTCCCCGGCTCCCCAGCTGGTCCCGACAGGGGTGCGGGTAACCTGTTATGAAGAATCATCCAAGACATGGGGTAGGCAGGGCCTCGAGGGCCCCAGGCTGGAAGAAAGGACCTTCCAGGGGCTGTTATATCCATTAGACTCTGTGAAGCCTTTAGTAGGAAGGGGCCTCCCTCCACACCCTCCTGCACCGTTTGGCTGTGGTCTGATTTGACTGAATGGCCTTCAGGGTTTTGCACCCCAGGGAGCTCTGATTTTATATCAGGGCTGTGCTTGGAAATAATGGGAAAACTCAGCAGAGAGCTTTTTCTAGATATGCTAGAAAGGAAGTTGCAAGAGAAGACGGACTTTTTCTTGTGTGTGGCTGTCTGTCCATTGCCAAGTACACAGTAAGCCCTCCAAGTCGCCAAAGAGATTGGGCAGGGGACACTTAGGAATGTGATTCTGGTGAAGCAGTGGGATATGGCAGAAGCAGGACTCCCCACTGATTATCGAGGTCCCCAAACCCTTCCCCCGGAGATGGGAAAGCAGGGATTTTACCTCCATTACAGCAGCACTCCCCCACCCCTGCGACTGTCCCCAGGAGCAGCTGCGATCCTATCTGCACCGGAGACCCACAAGATGTGCCCCAAAGCCCAGACGGCATTTGGAGCTCCAGCAAATGGAGTGTGCACAGCCTCGACCTGAACAGAGCTGTTTAATGGACTGCATCTCCTCCCTTTAAATGCACACACACACAAAGCCAATCGCGAGCAAAGAGAGTTGGATGGGATTAAACAAGTCAATTTAAAGAATTGAAAACTCAGCTGCTTCCAGTGAAGTCCTAGGGAAGGAACCAATCAGCAAAGTTCTCTTCCTTTTTGTACTGAAATGGGGGCTGTGACTGTGCAGTGGGCCACTCTCAGCTCGGGCAAAACTGGGCCGAGTCCACCCGGGGCCTCTTGCTGCAGTTAGGGGGCGGGGGGGGAGGGAGAGAGGCGTGTGTGCACGTGTGCATGTGTGCTTGCATATATGTGTACGTGGTGGGCAGGCAGGAGGAGCCGAGGACAGATTCACAGACCATCTGTTTTGGATTTTTCTGGAAACATCAAGTACCTTAGAGGACCCAGAGGCAGACATCCGCCTGTCTGCATCTCTTTTCAGCGAGGGTTTAGGCTGCAGGACAGCTTCCCCGGGCCCCACACAAGCCTGGTCCAACCCCAGGGAGGACCGTGGTGCCTCACTCTATAGGAAGTTGTGAGCTACGCCCCTCTCCTTTCCCCAGCCTCCAGGCCTTGTCCACCCCCATGTTCCCACTGCCCATGGAGGACTAGAGCTTTGCCTGGAGCCCATGGCCGCCCGGAACCTGGAAGAGGGGAGGAGAGGAGGCCAGACGTAGCAGCAGCACCTGATGTGTGGCCGGAGCTGGCATGGGTAGACAGACGGGATGCCACCTTAGCAAATGGCAATGCCCAGCTGCAAACTCTGCCCCTGAAAAAGAACTCGCCTACTCCAACTCCATGGAATGGGGTGCTGCATGGAATGGTGTGGGGAAAGGTAGTGTGTGGCTGGAGGAGCCCCCAGATGATAGAAGGACTCAGGCCAGCTCTCCCCAACTCTCCTGGCCGGCTTCTCACTCAGGGTTTACTCTGCTGCTGGGATCTGGGCCAGCTTCTCCCCTTTGCACCAGCAGCTCTTGGTGATCCCAACAAAGCAAAGCTGAGGGATCCAATGTCAAACTCGAGGTCAAATGGCATCCAGCTGAAATGAACAACCAGCACTCACAGAGTGCTCAGTGTGCGCCCAGCATGGCACCTAAGCATCTTGCGTAGAGCACTTCATTCTCACAACCCATGTGCTGTTACCGTGCCACTCAACATGGAAGAAAGGAGGTGAAGTGACTTGCTCAAGTTCAGGCAGTGAAGCAGGGCCAGACCTTGCGGGCACACTTGAGCCACACTGGTGCTCCCCACTGTCACTCTCCACTGCCTTCCAGGGACCAGGTTGCCTGGGCAGACTGGTTGCCTGGCGGATGCCCTGCTCCAGTGTCTCCTGAGAAGGGCCAACAGAGATGGCGTCCTCGTTCCTAAAGCCAAGAGCAGCAAGCATAGCTTTTCCTCTAAAGCAGTGGTCCCCCACCTTTTTGGAACTAGGGACTGGTTTCATGGAAGACAGTTTTTCTATGGACTGGGTCGGGTAGGAGGGATGCATCAGGACGATTCAAGTGCATTACATTCAAGCTCACCCCCTGCTGTGCAACCTGGTTCCTAACAGCCCTGAACGGTACTAGGCCGCAGCCTGGAGGCCGGGACCCCTGCTCTAAAGGGTGCACTTTACCAGGTATAAGCAACAAGACAATTTTTGGGTGCTGATTTAAGAGAACGGCAAACAAGCACCTTTCCGTTACGAGATCCCATGAGCCATTCAGAAAGGGAGGCCAAAAAGCCACTGTCACAGGAAGCGGTGTAGTGGACCTACCTCGTCGGACTCGTCCGATAGCGTCTGCAGGAGGATGGGGAAGAGGCTGTCCGTGTGCCGGAACATCTGCGGAGTGGAGAGGAGGGCGCCGGTGAGTGCTCCCTCACTCCAGGCCTGTGCTCAGCTCGGACAGGGCCCCCTGCATGGACCACCTTCCCCTGCTCCCCCAGACACCAGGGCTCCTCAAGCACCTGTCACCCCTCTGCACATCATGGTTCTCCCAGAACTTCAATGATCCAAACCCCACCAAGCACGGCAGGCCCTTGAAATGCAAGGTGGGAATGGAAAAGGCCCCTGGCTCGGAGGGACCTACTGGGCCCATGGACCTGGGGGCTCACCTTCCGAGGGGTCTTGATGTAGAGGTGGTAAAGCCACTTCAGCACGGCGATCCTGGTCATCATCCCGATGGCCATATCACTGAGGTGGCAGTTCAGGACCTGCACAATCCCATCAAGGTGGAGGGCGACCGGGGCCCTTTCTGTGCTGTGGGCAAGACCAGGAGTTGAAGCCACTGGAGCCTTCTCCACCACACCCAGCACCACCCTGGCCCTGTACCAGAACCTCCCAGAGGGCTTGCTTCTCTCCCCTCTGCAATATCGTGGTGGGGTGAGGGCCGGGCTGCTGGGCGCCCACCCACTTCCCTTTTCTGTACCGGCACTACCTAGCTTTGACAGCAGAAAACCTCTCCAGTGTCACTGAGCTGGGCCCCAGCAGACCTCAGGGATGCAAGGCCATTCAGTCCAGCCCCTTTGTGATAAAGCGAAACCACCATGTCCAGAAAGTCCAGGGGAAAGCGCTGCCATCCACAGGGCCTTCCCAAGGCCCCCATCGAACATTTCTCAAGCAAGGACCGGGATAATGGCTTTTTCTCTGCCATACTCCAGGGCACTCAGCCCAGTGTTCAGCCTGGCTGAGGAGCCTTGGGAGCTGCCTCGGAAGCTCTGAAGTTCTTGTTAGTTGGGGAAGTTGGCCTCTGCCTCTGAGAAGTGTAGCTGTTCAGAATGGGCTTTGCTCCTGGGGGGCCACAGGCTCCCGGCTTTACTGACCAAAGCCTTGCTGGTCTCCAGGCAGAGTCTCCTGCTGGGCAGCCCCGGGAGGGCAGGGTGCTGCTGGGACACTGACCCCCACCCTCTGCCCAAAGCACGAGGCCCAGGCAGAGACTGGAGTTTCGGAGATGGGGATGGGACGGGCAGAAGACCTGAGGGTGCACTGCCCTCCTGGTAGTGCATCGCATGGCATCTGTGCAAAGGGGCCACGACTGGTGCAGACAGGGCTGCAATTCTTTGAGGACTGGGCCAGGCGCTTTAGTTGCTGCCAGTACAAAATGGTCTTTCGTGGTATTTTCAGGCTGCTCAATTATTCATTTACATCAGGAACTCCATGCCTGTGTTTTCCTAATTTGCCTGCAGCCTCTTTGAGGCTCATTTGATGTGAATTCCTAAAGGGCATAATTCTGAGCTCTGTAAGTGCTAAACGGAACTGCTACTTAATATGGTCTGATGATTCCCCACGGTGCTCGTTTCGGGGGCTACAGTGGGTACTTCTATCCTCTGGTGGCAGAAAGGGCTGAGCCTTTCTGGCCAGGGCCGCCACTGAGATTTCCATGGAGCCTCATGGCTGGAAGTTCCTGGGGTCAGCTGAGGACATCCACCATCTCGGCCCTTCAGAGCCTCAGACAGACGGGGAAGTGCTGCGCGGACAGATGAGTCAGGCAGTGCGCGCGCGCGCGCGCACACACACACACACACACACACACACACACACACACACGGGCTGCCACCACCGTCCCACTCGGCCTCTCTCATGTTCACTGTCCAAGGAAAATACAACATGGGCCACATGTGAAATTTTACGTGTTCTGGTTTTATATTAAAAAGTAAAAAGGAACAGTGGAAATTATTTTTAATGGCACATTTTAATTAACCTGACATACTCCGAATATGGTCGTTTCAACATGTAAGTGGTATAAAACTAATCTGAAGATCACTAATGAGACAGGACTTCCCCCTGGTGCCCCAGTCGTTGAAACCCAGCCCACACTCCAGGCCGACAGTGTGGCTCCCTGCAGACCCGCCATGCGGCCCGAGCGGGGAGCCCGCGGGCGCTCTGACAACTTCCTAGTCGTTCCCTCCCCGCCAGGATCTACTTACTGTCTTACCTCCAGTCCCACTTCCCCCATCCTGTCGGCTTCTCCCTGGGCCAGAGGGACCCTGGGGCTGAAGGAGCTCGAGGAGCCCCCCACGGCTGAGGCCTGACCACAGCCAGAGCTCGGGGGCGCTGGGGAGCGAACAGAAACCCACCGACGCCTGTTCGTTCCCAGCTCCCTGAGCCTGAGGTCGGGCCTCAGCGAGTCCCTTTCCCCAGCAGGAGCGACAGGGCACCCAGCCGTGAAGGAGCACCCTGTGCCAGCAGTCGCTGCCACATTCTTGGTTAAACAACCCCCCGGAGGGGCCACTGCCACATTCCTAGTTAAAATGACCCTCCTGGGAGGAAGGCCTTTTTACTTTCCCGGGACTCAGGGCCGCGCTGACCGAGCAGCACGGCCGGTCCTGAGCTGCTGATGTGGAGGAAGGCAGGGCCAAGCCCAGCTGCCCTCTCTCCACTCCCCCCACCAGGCCCAGTGGAGTGTCTGACCTGGGGCTGGGGAGCAAGGGGCGGGGAGCTGCGGGGTTCTGAAAACAACGATGATGATGGAGGTGTGGGAAGTGAGCGCTCCTGTTTCTCGGGTACATAACCTGTGTTGGGCGCCGCTCTGAGCCCCGTGCCCACAGAGCCTCACTGACTTTCCTCAGAGGCCAGTGACAGTGTCATTCCCATTCTGGGGATGAGGAAATTGAAGCGCACGGATGTTGTTAAGTAACTGGCCCAGGGTTACCTAGCCAGGAGATGGTGGGGCTGGCAACTTGAATTGGAGCAGTCTGTCTGAGTCCAGACTGGCCTCACTGACCTCATGGCCCTGCCTCCTGAAGGGCCAGGCTCAGAAAGGGTCCATGGTGGCATCACTTCCAACTGTCCCCTGGAGGTTGGGGCAGCAGAATGGCAGCCCCTCATGGTACATTTTCTTGTCAGGAGGGTAGACAAAGCCTCCGTTAGGGAGAGAGGACACTGGGGAGCCTAGTGCTGGCCTCTGCTATGTGTGTGTGTGTGTGTGTGTGTGTGTGTATGTGTGTGTGCCCAAACCTAGTGGCCCAAAGATGCCAGGCCAGATGGGCCTTGGCCAGCTGGGATCCTTAATTCACCGTGGTCCTGAGGTGCTTCTGGCCGGCTCAGTGTCTCTGAGGGCAGAAAGCAAGGGCCAGCCCATTGGGCACCTCCCTCAGGTGGCACTGTGTCAGGGCCAAATAACGAGGAAGGATGTCAAGGATTTCAGTGTGTGAACTGGCAGTGTTTTGTGGACGAAGAATCTCTGATTTACCCGTGGCAAATGCCAGCAGCAGCACACTTCCCAGACATGGGCACCTTCGGACTGCTGGTGGGGTCAGTGTCCACCACAAATATTAACTGAAAGGACCTCGTGGCTCATTGTAACCTGACCCTTCGACGCACAGGTGAGGACACTGAGGTTGAGAGACAGTATAAACCATCCCAGGCTGTGAGGTCATGCACCAAGGACTCGTCGCTCAGCTGGAGACACTCTCCCTGGGTCTTGCTTCCCTCGACTGGCTGGAGGTGAAGGTCAAGGAAAGCAGGCACACACCAGGGAGGTTGATCTCAGCTCCCAGGAAAGGGCAGACTGATGAGCCCACCTGACTCCGAGGAAGCAGCTCTGGGCTGCTCCACCAGGCCAGGCAGGCTGCTGTGTGCTGGGCTCTGAGCATGCCCGGGGGGGCCCAGACCCTGGAAGCCTGGGCCATGCTGACAGAATGGGTGCTGCATGGCCACCCAGCTCCTGAGCTGCTGGTCTGGGGCCTGAGACGGCGCACCCTCTGCCCTGGTTCACCTCACTTGAAGAGAACAGAAGGGAGCTCGTTCACAATTTAAAATACATTTCTGCTTGGGTTCCAAAAAGTCTAGACTAGTCACTCTTGGGGCTTTTGAGTTATTTCAAGGTGTCTGCAAAACTCCAACTCCAGTGAGCATTTTTTCATAAAGCATCTCATAACAAACGTCTTACTCGAACATGTATTGCAATTTCCAAATGCAAGGTGCTACTGCGGCTATTAAAATACCTATGTACTGAATAATGCTTCTGATACTGCCGATAAATAATGATCACTCCCAGTGGTTCCCGCCCTCAGGGAGGCAGCCCCTTACTTCTGTGACGTCTGACTCTTCATGGTGCTCACGTGTTCCAGCTCTCATCAAAGTGAAAGCAAGACAAGTTAAAAACAAGTTGTTTCTGACTTCGCACTTTTCTTCTTCTAAAAGACCATTATAACTTTTTCAGTTGGTAGATGCAGAAAGTCAGGAAGCACTGACCTCTGCATCTATCTGCCTGCCTCCGGTGCTGGGCCCTGGCTTCACCAGGAGACCCACACTGAGTGTCAGGGTGACCCCGCGGCCTGAGGAGGCAGAGGGAGGCCCGTGCGCACTGCCACGCCTGTCTGGGGCTCTCATGTCAGGCGGGTTAGAGAGGCTGGTCGCAAAGCTCTGAGACTCTCCAGCTATGAGTAATAAGGTTAAATGCATGGGCTCTCAAGTCAGACAGACCGAGCCTGAAGTCCAACTTGGCCACTAATTAGCTGAATGAATTTGGCCAAGAAGTTTACCTCTCTGGGCCTGTTTTCTCATTTGTAAAATGGGGATAATAATGAGGTTCTTGTAATCACAACTGTAGCTAGAATGTGGGAAGTGCCTTCTGTGTGCCAGGGCCCACGCTATGCTCTTTTCCTAGTTCAGGTCATTAAGCTCCAGACCTCTATGAAGTCGGTACCATCCTCACGCCCAGTTTACAGAGGAGTAAGCTGAGGCAGGGAGAGGTTAAGCTGCTTGCCCAGGGCTGCCCAGCCTGGCATGGAGGAGGCAGGATGTGCGCCCTGAAAGTGGGACTCCACCATTCAGAGGGTTCATGAGAGCTAGGCCCCTGCCTGGTGCATATAAGACAGAGAGAGCGGCTGTCCCCTGTGGAGCAGGACACTCGCTGGGGCCCAGGTCACAGTGGCAAGTCTGCAACGGCCTTCCCGTGGTCAGGTTTGTCCCTTTCCCTCCTCCGCCCTCGAGGGGCTGCCAGAGGGCCTTCTCAGTCACAGGCGTGCTCCCTCACCCCCGCCTGCACCTCGGGCCCCCACGGCTCTCAGAACAGGAGCACGTCCCCTCCGCGGGACGTGCCAGTCTCCCTGCATCCCCACGCGGACCTCTCCTCCGAGTTCCAGAACCCACCACCCAAACCTGCGCACAGGGTTGCTCAGAGCCACCCTGGACGGAGCTCCTGACTCGCCCACTCACACACCTGTCCCTCCTTGCAGCGTGGGACAGCACACCAGGATACCCTGATTTGGCTCACGCCCAAAACTCAGAAGTTATTCTTTCTCTCATTTTTCTCCTTTCACTCCCTCCCATTAGCCAATTCTGTCAGTTTTACCTTCAAAACAGATCTCGGATCCGTACAACTTCCTCCTTATTTTGCCAACTCTTCGGTCGGAGCCGCTACCCCCGCAACCAGGCTGCACCCGCCCGAGTCCTTCCCACTGTGTTCTCTGTGGACGCTCCCGACCCCTGGTCCCTCCTCAGCCCTACAACGGAGACGCTACTGCTGACTTTCGGGATCTCAGCATCAGCAAAATCCAATCACACAACGCGAAGTAGCGAAGTACCTGGCACGGCAAGGGCCTGGCAGCACTGACCCCCGAGCCTCGCTGCTGTGGCCACTGCTCCGGCCTCGGCTCCAGCCCCCAGCGCCCCCTGAGCCCCCCACCACGGCAAAACTGAAAACAAACGAATGCGGAGCGCTGACTGGCTTGCTCCCATTGTCAGCAAGGGCCCGCAGAGGAGTCTGTGTTTGTAATGAGTGCTGCCTCCTTTGACGACATGCACAGAGCCCTTAGGTCAGAATAAGTTTAAACTGATACAAAAGGAGGAGAGATACTGGAGGTCTGGGGAGAACAGAGCCTCCCGCCCATTTTCCCTTTCGTGAGCGGTGCTGCCCAGGGCTGAGTTCCAAGGGAAGAAACCCGCTGCGGGAGAACCGCCACCCATTCCAGCCCCGCCAGCGCCAATTCTACCCAGAGAAAAATCGAGACGGGCCAGGAGACTCAGACAAGGAGACAGCACGAGAGGATTCCTTCCCCAGGGGAAGGCCATCACCCTGCGGGGCGTGCAGGGGGGTGGCAAGGAAGGGAATTATCTCCACGCCTGGCCTGCACTGCCCCCACGTGGAAGGCTGCGCTATTACCGCTGGCCCAGGAGCCTAGGAGAGCACAGATCCTGACGCCCGCTCAGTCCACGCACTCCTTAGAGTCCATCAATCGGGGCCTGTAACCCAGAAGGTCCTGTCACAGCCTTCCCCTCGTCAGTCTTGTCTGTCCCACGTTATCCTGGATGTGCAAACGTGTCTGTGTCTCACTGTAGTCGCCATGTATTTATTGTGTGTTATACTTTTATACTTGTACTTACAGAGACCTCCAGCAGCCTGTAATCCCTGCCCCCCAGGCTATCTGCCCATCAGAAGTGGGGGTGGGCTGGGCTTGCTCAGGGTCCCTCACATTCCCTCCTCAGGCACCTCCTGTGCCCCATAAGCAGTGGCCCCAAGCAGAGCTCGCTCGGGTCTTCACTGCAGTCCCCGCGCCCAGGAGAGAGCCGGGCTGCTCGCACCCCTCGACCACCGCTGGCTGGAACAAACCACTTACCTGGCTGAAGAGATGCCGCTGCTGAAGCTGGAGTCACGAGAACCATCGGGGCCTCCTGGGGAGTATAAGAGGAATAATGGACCACGATAAAGGCCGTGGGAGTCTTTTAAATGAACAAGATCCCTGTATAAAAACACACAGACTCTCCGGTCCCCCACACCTCGCTTCTGGCCATTGAAGAGGAGACGGCCCGCAGTCCAGGCCCCGCAGTCCGAGGACCCAAGCTTACTCACTCCCCGGAGCTTTTGGGGTGGAGCCCGTGCCTGCACGACGTCGGCACAGTGATCTCACAAGAAGAGGGACGCAAACGCTGAACGCATCTGGGAAAACCTCAGAAGGGTGTGACGGTCTGGGGGGCAGTGGACGTGAAAAAGGATGTCTGGATACTCATCATTAGCATCAGGCAAATGCAAATCAAAACTGCAGCGAGATGCCATTCCACACCCACTAGGAGGCCTAAAATAAAAAGGAGAGCTGACGACCACAGTGGTGGCGAGGGTGCGGAGAGACCGGAAGCCTCAGACACTACCGGTGGGAGCGGGACGCGGCGCAGCCACTTTGGGAAATGGCCGGCAGTTCCTGAAAAGTCGAAACCCGTTACCAGCAATTCTACTGAGGTGTTTTCCCAAGAGAAAGGAAAGCTACATCCACACCAGAACTTGTACAGCAGGTTCCCAGTGGCATTATTTAAAATAGCCCCAAACTGCACACAATCCAAATCCTATCAACTGATGTACAGAGGAACAAAGTGAGTTAGAGCCGCCCAGTGGACGACCATGTGATCACAGAAGGAATGAAGCACCGACACAGGCTTCAACATGGGTGGACCCTGAAGGAGAGAAACCTGTCACAGAGGACCCCACGCTGTGTGACTCCATTCACGTGAAACGTCCACTGCAGGCAGCTCTGCAGACAGAGCAGATCAGAGGCTGCCCAAGGCTAGAGGGGATGGGAGGACGGTGTTGGCTATTTCTTAAATTAAAAAACCAAACAACTTGTTATTTTGAAATAATTTTAGATTTATAGAAAAGTTGCAAAAGCAACACATAATACACCCTTCACCCAGCTGCCAGCTGCCCTAGTGGTAACATTACACACACCACTGTTTCGTTATCGAACCAGGAAAGTAGCACTGACACAACGCTCTTAACTAGACTAGACTAATTTGATCTTGACCGGTTTGTCTACTTGTGTCCTCCGTTCCAGGATGGAACCAGAGACCCCGCACTGCACGCAGTTGTCCTGTCTCCTTAGTCCCCTCCAATCTGTGACAGTTCCTCATCTTTCTGTATCTTTCCTGAACGTGATGCTTCTGAAGCCCTGGTCAGCCACTTTGTGTCAGCAGAACGTCTTGTGATCTGGGGCTGTTCTGTCATGCTGTCCCGCGGCTGGGTCGGGTCAAGTGACACGCCCTGTCAGTGCACCGTCTCGGGGAAGCAGCGTCCATTTGTCTCATTACCAGTGAGGTTAGCCTTTTCACCTGCTTACGGTAGTGTCTTCTGGGTTTCTGCCCTGTAAAGTTAGCATTTTCCTTTTTGTAATTAGTAATTATCTTGGGGAAGATAGTTGAGATTAGACAAATAATTGGTTTTTTCCTCAAACAGTATCCCACTGATTTGTAACATCCATTAGTGGATCTTGCCTACAACAACTACTACTGTGGCATCTGCCTGATAATAATATTGTTTTCCTCTTTCCTTCTACATTTATTAACTGGAACCCTTCTACAAGGCAGAGCGGTCCCTTCTCCACCATTTATTCATCCATCCATCCACCCATTCATATCATCATGGATCCCTAGATATTTATTTTACTCTGTGGGTTACGAATGAAAACTATTTTTATTTATTGTTAAATTTGTTGCACCATTTGTTGCTAAAATGGTGCCAGCCTTGGCCTCTTAAAAGTTTTAAATTATACAAGTAAAATACCTTCTCATTCTAAAAATATCAAAAGCAAAGCAAAGCCACTTTCCCTCCCTAACCTTTGACCTCAGTCTCCATGCAGGTAACTACCAATTAGGCGAGCACCCTTTCATTTTTTGCTAATCCTACTTTTTATTTTGTGAACATACACAGAAGCAGGGAATGTCTTTCGTAACCTGCCCTTTTCACTTCGTACTACCTCGGAGCAGGGCCACGGTGTGGACGTGAAGCTACCTCCGAGCCCCCTATTAAGGGACCTTTATTTCCGCGTTAAACAGAAAACCTCTGAGCGGCTCCTTGTCCCAACCCCAGAGAACCTTAGGGGGACATGGCACGACTTGGTGGGGGCAGGAAGGGCTGTGTGCAGGAGCGGGGCCTGCTCATCGGCCCCAGGGAAAGGGGGGAGGGCACGTGGGGAACATGGGCAGGCCGGCCTGCACCAGCAGCCTGGCAAGGCAGCCGGGCCCCTGGCGGCTCCCCTGTTCTCGTCTCCCGGAAACACACATACTTGCAGATGAAATGACGTGTTGTTGGAAACTGGCTCCAAATTAATTTCAATTGTTCCCTAATTTCATTTACGGCTCTCCTGTGCTTCCTCATGCACGAGTGGAAGCACTTCTCCAGCATCCACGTCCACGGGGGCTGCTGAGGGGTCAGGCCCCTGACACTTCAACAGACACTGCCAAGTGGCCCTTTTGGGAGGTTCTACCAATATATGGTAGGCAAGAACGGAGTCCTCATTCCCACAAAGGGGTATTACCCACCCACGCAGGGGTATTAGCAATCTTTTCAATGTTTGCCAGGCTGAATAAAAATCATACATTGTTTTCCTTTGCAATCCTTGGATTCCCAGCCAGGCCGAGCATCTTTGGTGGCCCTTTTGTATGAATTCCTCTTCAGGAAACCGCAGGGTAGACATCACTATAGGCAGAGACTCAGGGTGTGCACCCTGACTCCCCTACTTACTGGCTGTGTGACCCTGGGGCAGGTTCCTAGACTTCACCTCTACTTTCTTACCTGTGTAACGGGGTAATGACAGTGCTGACACCACAGGCTTGCTATGAAGATAAACAAGCTAGTGTTTGTTTGGTGTTTAAAAGCTTTTGATACATGCTGCTAAGTGTATTTACCAGATAATCATATTTCACTTGTATACCTTTTGCCTCCCCCCAGTAGCAATGTCTGTTTTTCCCCTAAATATCTACAGGAGACATGTATTTCCTTTATAAGTGGAGCGAAAAACGGTGGTGAGGCTGGGGGAGAGTGGACGCTAAAGAGAAGATCCAGTCGAAATAACCTCCATGTGGCCTGGCCAGGTGGCCCCAGTCCCCTGTGACCACGGACAGAGTCACACGATTACTCATCTGCAGATCTGACCCTGAGCTCCTGGCAGGCGGGTCCTAGGTCTGACTCACCTGCATCTGCAGTGCCCACAGAGGGTGCTGATACGCCCAGTCCCATCCACACTTTGGAGTGGAATGTTGCCCCTCAGAAGTCACCAGCCCGCCACTGGGAACTCTATTTACAGCTCTGCTCCTCAGCGGCCACATGAACTTCAATCCCTGACCCTCTCTGATCCCTCGAGTAGGGACCCCCAGGGGCCCCTTACCACTTGGGCAGTGCTGGTGACGAAAGATAAGGGAGAACAGCCCTACCCCTGAGAACCTTGCTAAGCAGGTGGATCTGTTATAAAGATGCACTCGGACACCTAGACACTGAAGCACTGTAATTGGGAGTGTGGGGCCTGGGCTGTGTGCTAGGAGCTTTACACACAAAAATCTGGTCTGAAACTCACCATCACACTACGGACTAGGTGTTATTATCATTGCCCTATTTAACAAACAAGGAATCTGAGACCATGCGACTTGCCCTGGGACCATGAACTTGACAGAGCCAGGACACAAGGAAGGCAGTTCTGGCCCCAGCATCCAGGCAAATGAGACAAGTAGGGAACGTCACGGAGGGGAACAGAGGACATAATAAGTGCTGCAGAAACTCAGAGTCAGAGAAGAACACTGCACTGTGGGCCCCCGTAAGCAGTAGGGCTGAGGGGAGCAGAGCACGTGAAAAGGGCTGCGAGCAGCAGGGCACAAACGTGCACCCGCCCTCACCAGAGTGCGTAGGGAGAGGCGAGGGCGGGGCACTGTGTGTGTGGGCACCTGCTCCTGCACAGAGGGCCAGGCCGTGGGTCCGGTCTAGGGGCGCACGGTGGAGAGCGCGGGGTGACGTGGGATGCGGGGATGCGGTGACGCGGGCTGGCTGGGCGAGGAGGGCCAGGCAGGAGGCTCCTGCCTGCTCCCGGAGGACCCGGGTCGGAGAGCGGAACAGAGTAATAAGAGGCCGTGGGAGAGGCTGGAATGGACCTGGCGAGGTTAATCACCACTTTCTGGCTCGCCGGCACCTTCTCCCGGCTCCTGGGGAAAGCGCTGCTTCCTCACAAGCCGAGCAGGTCTGGAGGGGATGTGGAGCCTCAGAGTGGCTGCTGCCGCCTCCGGGAACTGCTGTGAAGTGAGCTCTGCATCTGCTGAAATGCTTTTTATGGGGCAGTAAAACCTGAAGCCAAGCTGCCTGCATGCATCTTGGTTTAGGCTAAGCTTCTCCTGAGCAGGGAGCTATTTAAAAAAGCTAAGGAAAACTGTCTACAAAATTAAATAAATAAGCTGCCCTGGCCAGGAACGGAACCCGGGCCTTCTGTGTGTCAGGCAAGAGCCCTCCCACGGAGCCACCACTGCTCCAGCTGGCTCCTTGGCAGCGGCCACGAGTGGCAGGACGCAGTGGTTCCTGTCCAGAGGGCTCGACTTGGTGCCACAGGAGCAGAAAGAGTGGGGCACAAGCTGCTGGCTTCCACTTTGGGGGAAGAGGTGCTAACTTTTTAAAAAAAACGAATGAGATACAATTCATATATCCTAAAATTTCTTGACAAAGGCTTATCATATTAAGGTGGACAACTGGGTAATTTTTCCCTACATGCACAAAGCCGTGCAAACATCACCACTATCTAATCCCAGAACGGCTCCATCACCCCCAAAGGAAACCAGGCGTCTGTCAGCATTCGGTCCCGACTCCCCCTTCCCTCCGGGCTCAGCAGCCATTGCTCTATTTTCTAACTCTATGGATTAAAGGGTACAAACTTTAAAAATCAGTATAAAGTAGCCCAAACTTCTGCATGTTGTGACTTGTCAAGCGAAAAACAAAACAAAGCAAACAGCCCCACACCCGAACCTACCACCCAAACCAAAAAAGCAGGATGTGGAATCACACAGGGTGGGGCACAGGCAGGCTGACAGTTGTGAGCACACGAAAGAGTTTATTCTTCTATTATTAATTATTGCATTATTTTCCACACCAACAGCTGTAAACCTACTTTTGCCCCATCCTGTGTAAGTTCTATGATCTCGAATATATACAATGGGAAAAAAAAGCCAAAATTTTAATACTGATTGCCTCTTAGTGAGAACAGTCCTGCTTCTTTATATTTTCTACTTTCAAATTTTTCTAAAATGAGAATCAAAGAACAGAAAGATAAAAAAACTCATACATCAGTGAAAGCTCACAAAATATATCTACGCCCGAGATTCTTCTCCATCCCTCAGTGGGAAAGCCCCTGCCTTCGGAGGCCCACAGTAACTTAACTCCCCAAGCTTTGTGTCTCAAGGAGCTGCCAAAAAGTCTCCAGCTGCTGCATTGGCCGGGAATCGAACCCGGGCCTCCCGCGTGGCAGGCGAGAATTCTACCACTGAACCACCAATGCTCCAGCTGGGTGCTGCTCTGCCTCCAGCTGTTTTGCTACTGTGGCTCCCAGTGGCCAAGTCACAGCTGTAACCTGACACCTGAGACAACCCAGCCCGCCAAACCCGTGGGAGGAGACCCGTGGGAGGAGACCCGTGAGGCAGGCGTGCCTGAAATTCTCAGATACCTACACAGAGGCCTGAGAGCCGCAATGGAGAAGGGCTTGAGCAATTCTTTCTGCTCCGGGGGAAAGTTCCAGACTTCAGTATGTTAGCCTTAAAGATTCAAGTGACCCTGCAACCTGTACTCCTGCCACGAGCCAAACCTTCTCATACTGAAAAGACTATTTCTGTAGCTGAGCCCAGAAAAAGACTGAGAGGAGTAATGGTTTTCGAAGAAGTAGGGTTAAGAGTGTGGGTTCTGTAGACAGACAGCCGGGGTTCAAATCCCAACTCTGCTACTTAGAAGTTGCCCGGTTCTGGTCTCGTTATCTATCTTCCCTGTGTCCATCTGTAGAATGGGAATCAGGCAGTAGCAGTCCCTACCTGATCAGGTTGTCGTGAGTTAACGTACGGAAAGTAGTTTAGTGAGGCCCCAACTCGGTCAACTACGACCTCCGGCTCCGTGGTGCCCCCCCGGGAGGCGAGGGACAGGAGGCAGAGCCTACTCACCACTGCCTGTCCCCTCCTGCTTGGCCGCAGAGTCGTCAGGGTTGGCGTCCGCCTGCCGCTGCACCACTGGCTTTGGCTCGTCGGGCTCGTCGTCCTCGGGGGTGACCAGCTTCATCAGGCTCTGGTTGCACACGCTGGCCGCCTCCTTGATGCCTGAGCGCGCTGATGTAAGGAGCAGCCCGGCCGGGGTCCTCCATGAACCCAGGTCCCTGGCGCCGATCGGGGCCCGCGGTGCTCCTCGGAGGTGTGCCAGTGGGCAGGCAGGCGGTCTGAACAGAGTCACGCCCTCCTGCCACACTGGTGTCCCCTCAGGATGCTCCCGTGTCTTCTGGTAGGGCTCCTTCTTAGTGGGCCTCCCACCGACAGGCTTCCCCCACCCAGGGCTGGGCAGTGTGAGCTCGGGGGGTGGAACTGTGCGGCCCGGGAGAGCTACTCCAGATCCGTAAGGAACCGGGTGCACTTTGGGGACAGCGGCATTTGCTCCGTGGCCCTGGCACTGTTGTGGCTCTCCCAGTTCGTGTTCCGCAACGCCTCTTGTTCCCTTGATCTCAGGGACTACGTGGAGATACTCCGTCCTAAGGGAGCCAACCCCCACTCCAGAGTCCCGTAACTTCACAGGCCCCTTTGGGGCTACTCTTGTGTCCTTTCTCTAGAGCAAAGGATACTTTTCTTGCGGTCATCATAGGCCAGGCAGGGCAAGACGGCGGTCAGGATCCCAGAGGAGTAGGGCAGCATCACGCGGCCGGCCAGCTGGATGAACTCCCTCATCCAGCACATGGCTGTCAGCTGGATCAGGTCATCTGCAGGGGGAGGGGCGGGTTCTAGGAGGATCGGCCTGAGCAGCTGGAATGCTCCCTCCCACTGACCACGCCCACAGGACGCCACAGGGGCTCCTGAGGGCTTGCACTGCTTCGGGCCTCACCAACACTTCCTCAACCTTGCTTCTTGCCTCCCAAGGGTACATGCAGTGTCAGGATGGAACAATAGCCTGTGGCAGACTGCCAGAGTAGCCACGATTCTCTAGCTGCCTCTGTGTCCGTGCCCCCCACGATGGGGCTCCGCAGCTTCCCTCCTCAAGTGGGAGCCCACTTCCTGACTCCCTAACCCCAGGCTGGCTGTGCCACTTTGGCCAGCAAGAAGGTGGTGGAAGCAATGGTGTGCCTGGTCCGAGCCCTAGAGGCCTTGCTCACTTCTACCACCTCTCTGGGATCTCGCTGATGCCATGTGAGTGCACTGGGGCTGGCCTGCAGGATGACGACCCATGGACCGACTGTCCCTGTTGCCCTAGGTGACAGCCAGCCAACTGCCAGACATGAGTGAGGCCGTCCTAGCCCACCCAGCCCCAGCTGCCCCCCAGCAACTGTGGGTGCACGACCACGGCCAGCCACACCTCCCCCAGGTGAGCGGAGCCGCCCAGGACTCGCGGACTCACGACCACTGTGTGGAGCGATTACATACTGTGGTGGTTTGATGCTCAGCAGAAGCTAATGGAAACACCACCCCAACCTCCAAGTAATTCCATTCACGATGCTAAGGCTGAGCTTGCCACCAAGAGGTTCCCAGGGTCGGACCAAGCGAAAGGGCCTCCACGTCACAGGGAACCTGAAACTCTCCCTCCCAAGGACCCACCGCTCCAGCGCTACGGGATCCAGGGCCGTACCGGCTCACACCCCTACCAGGACTCTTTCCAAGACGGCGAGAGAGAAAGGTGCTTCTGAGGAGGCAGCGGTGGCCATGGGCCCTCACACACTCACCCGTGGTCTGGCAGTGGATCACCAGGATGTTGGCCATCTCCGCAAACTTAACGCTGGAGGGGTTCTTCTTAATTTCTTTCAAGAATTCTCCAAGGACCACTTCGCACCTGTCAATGAGAGGAGGAGAAGGGACATAGCATATGCCAGCCAGGGCTGAAGGAGCCTCCACCCAGAGGGGACTACGCGTTGAACTTGTCCGATGGATGTTTTTCAGGGGCTGGAGGCCGAGGAGCTCTTAGCTCTTCGTGGTGGAAAACACACAAGCCGGGAAGAAGACAGGGACCTTCCTGCTCTGCGGCTGCCGCCCGTCTGCCGGTGTGGGCGGCCACCTGCCCCTCCCGCCACTCACATTTTCCGAATCTCTTTGCCGTTGTCGCCCAGAATCTGAAAGAGTCCATCCAGGATCTCTGGCAAATAATCCAGCAGGTTGATGTCTGGCACGGACTCCAGAACCAGGATCTGGCCCAGGGGAAGACACCAGGAGGGACAGTCACATCGGCCAGCCCGAGAACCTTCGCCTCCCCCTCCCCAGTATGCTGGGCCTGGGCAGTGAGGGCCCCCCCCCCCAGGCAGCATCTCACGGCACCGCAGGTGTCCCCTGGCGGGGAGGGGTGCTGGCAGCTCTGGTTAGAGGGGCAGGGGCACGGCAATGTAACTGCGAGGAAATTCAGACGCCAGGGGCAGGAGGGAGTCCGTGGGAAAGGACAGACAGGGCGAGAAGAGGTGCGACTGTACAAGCAGCGCTCCTGGCTTCAAAGGGAAGTCAGGGTTTGCCGGATAAAAGGACGAACTGCATCGGGGGCAACCAGGACGGGATTTGGGGGAAGAGCTGAACAAACGTGCTTTCAGATCACCTGGTGTTACTGACTATGGCCAGGATAATGTGCAGGCGTCTCTGCAGCCACAGGGCTGCCCAGGGCGTGCCAGAGACAGATGTGACTAACCAGAGGCTCGTCATGGCCCGAGGAAGTGTCGCAGGGCTGCCCTCACCCAGGAGATGATGAACTGCCGGGCGTACTGGTTGTTGGAGTAAATCCGCTCCCGCAGCAAGGGGATGAAGCCCACCAGGTCGAACTTGTTGCTCTCGGTCACGATGTCCTGTGGGTCAAAGGCACGAGAGCTGCTGAGTGACAGCCAGAGTCAGGGGCTGCCTGACCTGGCTGAGCTACTGGCCCAGGGCTGGCTGCAGGGGCCAGGCGGCCACCAGGGGAAACAGGGATAGAACAGCTCCACGTCCTGACTGCACCGGTGACGCAAGTCTACACACTTAGCATCGAACTGTACGTCAGGGTCAATTTTACTGTGTGTAAGTGAAAAAATTTAAGTAAATTAGGAAGAGTGTTCCCAGTAATATAATTTATAAGCTATACAGACAGATTCAAGGAACAGATTCTGAACAGCGCAGTGGATGCCAAGTCCAAATACCTTTAACAGGCGGTCCAGGAGCTCAGATCCACTTTTCACATTGGGGTCTGGGTCAGCAGCCAACTACAAGACACAGGAGAGCGACGGCGAAGGTCAAGATCTACTGGAAACCACGACCAAGGCCCTGGCGCAGCTCGGGTGCAACAATGAAGGGGCATCTGTTTCGGTGAGTAAGGCAGAGGAAGGCAGGCGGGGAAGTGGGAATGGGTGAAATGGAGGTGAGATGCGGTGGGCATCCCCATCCTGTGCAGGGTCTCTGGGGCCTGCTGGGGGCTGCGGGACCTGCCGCCTCTGGGCCGGGTGGCTGCTTTCTGTCAGCCTTCCTCAGAGTCTCGGATCTTAACTTGCTGGGTCCTCTCTCCACTCTTGGAGGGGACCAAGGCAGCTGTGGGGCCGATCTACGGAGACGACTGTGCAGTCGGCAGGGCAGCAGGGCTTCATGACGCGTGGTGCTGGGTCGGGGTGCCCCGTGAAGCCGAGAGAGGAGCTGAGGAGGCGTGAGGGGCTCCAGGGCCTTTCTAAGTGGAGCTGTTTCTAGTGCTTTGGGCTAGCGCTCTCCTCACAGGGGAAGTGGGGTCTGTACACAGGTGCACCATATTCACCTTCGATAAGGGAGCTTAGTGCTCTTCAGACTCTCAGGTTTTTCCCTTCCAGTTTGTGGTGAACTCATATTTCATTAAATTCAGTAAGGATAAGCTAATAGTGAAATGGAAAAAAATGTAACTGCAAGCCCACTTAAGAAAAAATGATGAGACTGAACCAACACGTGTCCCTGGTGGCCATGTGGTTATCTGCTCTGCCCACATCTGGGAAAAGGGACCCGAGCGTTCAAGACCCCAGAGGGTCAAGCGAGGCGGGTGGCGTGAGCTCAGCCAGCCAGAGGGAGGGGGAGGAGCGTCACCTTACTCAGCCCGTCAAAGAGCACGTTGAAGTGGGGCAGCACGGCGCCCCGGGCCACCTTGACGATGTTGTAGAGCGCCTCGCAGGCGTAGTAGCGCAGCCTGCTGTCTGCGTCATTGAAGCAGGTCAGCACCGGCTCGATCAACTCCTTCAGGTAGAGCCCCGAGTCCTGAGGTGGGGAGAAGGAGAAACAGCTCACAAGGGGCCAGCCCCCACCCCCCAGTCCCCAGCTGACATCCCAGCTCCCCTGGAGATGCTCAGGCCTTTGTGTGCGGCTGTGCTTAAACACCCTTTGTAGGGTGGCCTCCCAGGACAGGGGTGGTGCCAGGAAATAAGGCTGCAAGACTGTGGCAATAAGACACAGGTCTGCAAAGCCCTGTTGGGCCTGGGATCGGAGTCAAGGCCATGCCTGGTGTGTCTGTCCCTCCAGGAGAAAGGCCCACCTTGCCCAGTGCGATAGAGCAGGCAGCCAGGCCGATGAGACCCCCTTTCCGACTGTGGGGGTGCTGAGACAGGGCAAACTCCTGAGACAGGGTCTGGATCACATGCTTGATTTGCACGGTGTTGTTCTGGGCCACGAACTCCCGGACCAGCCTGGAGAGAGAGGGGAGAGGGGCTGCAGGTCGAGTGGATCAGGCCTCCCCTGCTGCTGGCTTCAGGGCCTGGGGCTGGGAGGAGGAAGAGGGGTGACCTGTTTAGCAGAGGAGTTGGGATCAGACATCTCAGGGCAGGCCTTTCCCCGTTCTGCTGCTGACTGGGTCATGATCACTTCCCTGTGCTGGGTCTCAGTTTCCCTTCGTGTACGACAGAATGAGGAGCTGTGGAGCTACCTCACTTCTGGAATCTCACAGAATGCAAGTGAACGTCTTGTTGGAGAACCCAAACTGCAAATAGTATCAGCTGATCAACCATCTTTATTCAACACTTGCTCAGCCCTCCCTTCAGGCTCCCACAGAGGTTCTCTGGGTCCGCGTCATTTCCGGGGATGGCGCAGAATCAGGTCCCAGTCCAATGCGCGAGACCCGCACACAGATAAGAACGCAGCTGCAGCAGTGCGGCAAAAGCGACACCACAGAAGCAAGAAAAATGCCACGGGCTAACTTTCCTGGGCTCCCTGGGAGGTGCCATTTGTGCCAGACCTTAGGAAGATCAACGGGCATCTTCCAGGCACAGAGAAAGGGGAGGCAGGCAGGGCACCTCCGGCCCAGGAAGAGCCTGGCCAAAGGCAAGGAGTTCTGAAAAGACAGGCATATCTAGGGAGGGACGAGGAGTCTGGCATGTGGAAGGAGCTGCCAGAGACGACAAGGCAGTGAATTTTCCGGCAATGGGGTGACGTGCTCAAATCCGTGTTTTAATTAGGTACTTCTGGGGCAGCCTAGAAAGAGACTGAAAAATGCCCCCAGGAGAACACCACAGCTATCAGGGGCAGGAAGTGGAGGCTGTGGGAAAGCACAGGGAGGGAGGGAGGGATGCTACAAACTGAACAGAAAGCATTAGAAGCCCATATAGTATGGGAGAGGAAGGGAGGTGCAGATATGGCTTTGAGGCGTCTGTCTGCCTGGGCAGTGATGCTAACGGGGAGAAGGGTGGCTTGAGGGGGGGCGCCTGTGGTCCCCCAGGAGATGCTCCCATGATAGACCCCACCCAGAGTGGAAAAGAGCAGAGGGAGGCCCCGGCCACCAGGGACCAGTCTCTGTTTTCAGAGCCCGGTGGCCACAAAGGCCGAGACACTGCGCCCTTCAGAAAGAGTGCCGTAAGAAGCCCAGAGATGGATGGGGAGGCAGACAGCCCAGTGTGAAGGTATGAAGGTATGATGAGAGCGGACTAGAGATTACGGACTTTTCAAAGCAGCTGCCTAGACTCACTGTCACTTTGGTCCATCATGGCAGGTATACTGCTTGCCTGTGGCATAAAGCTGGGGCAGGGGTGTGTGTGTCTCATGTTTGCTCAAAGAATTTAAAGACAGTCAAGTCCAAAAGGTATCAGTTAGTCTATGTGGTTCTAGCTCAGGGTCAGGAACCTGCTAGTAATTCGAGCTGTTCAAAGGTAAATGTACTATTTTATGAGACAGTGACCACTCCTGCAAAGATGTTGTTCATTGAGGGGTTGGGTAGGGTCTGATAAAGCCTTAATACAGCAAGCTATGTGGGGCGCCTACTCTGTGCCAGGCACGCTGCAAAAAGGTGAAGAAAACTGGCCTGGCTCCTGGGCTGGTGGACGTGAGAGCGGAGCCCAGTACGTGAGGAAGGGGCTCCACGAACGGCCTCTTCCTCTTACCTTTACAGGACGAGATCCCACCAAGCCCACCCCAGGGGCTGAGGGTTACAGATAAACCAAGGGCCTCCTTCTGGAAGTTCAATGTCAGTTTCACAGGCCCCCCACTCCCAAAGCAGTTCAGTAAAGCCCAGCAAGTTCAGCAAGGATGGTTCCTTATAAACCGGTTTGGTTTTCCAAACTGGACAAACCAGCCAAGTGAGGCCATCATCTGCCAGAACTCCTCTGAGCCAGTCTCAACCACGCCAGGCCTGCAGCAGCCCCTTGAGAAAAACCCCAATGATGTATGAGTAAACAGCTGGAGCATTGGTGGTTCAGTGGTAGAATTCTCGCCTGCCACGCGGGAGGCCCGGGTTCGATTCCCGGCCAATGCAATGCTGTTTTTCTTTTTCCTTTTTTTTGCCCCTTCCTGGCAGGTTTCCTTCTCACACAGACATCCAGCTGCAGGAGCCAGTCTCCTCAACCACGCCAGGCCTGCAGCAGCCAAAGGCGCTGTGAAACTTTAACCACACTTCCCTGCTCAGAGAGCGTGTGGACAGCAGACTGGTTCTCTCGGGGGCACTACTCGCTGTGCTGCCAAGGCCTTCCTGCCCTTCACCGGCGAGGGCACTCCCGCCGCACTCCCGCCACACCCCTCGGCCTTGGCCAGTCTCCAGCGGAAGCGGGGATGAAACCCGAGAACTGTCAAACAGCTCAACACACATGTGGACACAGAATGGGAGGGCCCGCACAGCGGAGACATCACAGGGGGTAAAGGCGCCCAAAGTCCTCGCTGTGCTTTTGCTACTGAGAATGGAGAGCTTGAGCACGAGGTTCTGCCCCGAGGTCTAAAGGCACATCACTCACACACTCACTCACACACACACTCCCTCCCTCCCTCTCTCTCTCACATTCGGCCTCCTGCCTTCACAGAAGCTTTCTGTTCTTGCAGCTGTGCTGATGTGGCAGCATTAGAACCTGGCCTTATATTTTGAATCAGTATATATACAAGGAGATTCAGGACTGGAATTAAAAGGAGGTGCTCACACAGCTGTTGGCATCTGGAGCATTGGTGGTTCAGTGGTAGAATTCTCGCCTGCCACGCGGGAGGCCCGGGTTCGATTCCCGGCCAATGCAGCAGCAAGCTCTTTTGAATCCTGAAACTGGATTTGAGATTTTACACCACCTAGAGTTTGTGAACAGTCAGAACTGAGAATGACTTGTGTTGCACAAAGGTCTCTAGACCCGGGTCTGCTTATTTTTGAGGAGTCCTGGATGGGGGAATCACCAAGGCCGCTGGAAGCAGCTGTGCCTCCCACTGCCGACCTGACGGCCAGCACGCTGGCCGCCAACAGCTCTCCGAGGAGGCCAGGCCACGTTCCTGCTCCACACGGGTTAGAGCAGCGCCCGGGTGAGGGGGCAGGCGGGGGGTGAGGATGTCCACCGGGCTTCAGCACGGGATCCGAAGCAGAGCCAACCCCGCCAGCAGCGCACGAGCCATCCTGGAGAGTTACGTCACCTTGTTTCAGATCATAAACGAGCAACTGGCAAGGGCGCTCTTCCCTGATGTAGAGCCAACCTGTGGGATGCATTCCCTGCCCTAGAGGGGCTCTCTGCTGGGGTGGGGTGAGGGGAGAAGAAGCGGAGTCCAAGAGAACTTTTGTGCAAAGCATAACCCCACCCCCCCGCCCAGACTCTGGCGTGAAGAGTGTAAGGTGAAGTGGGAGCAGGCAGGAGCCGGAATGACTAGCATCTCTGGAGTGGCAGGAATTGGGTGTGGCTTCATGAGGGTCGGCATTTGGGAGGGGTCCCGAGGGACGGGTAGGTGTTCGTTCTGGGGCTGCTCAGGGTGAAGCAGTCCAGAGAGGGGAACAGCACGCACAAAGGCTCAGAGCACAGCGGAGGCCTGCAGTGTGGCAGAGTAGAGGACGCGGGTGGAGGAGAAGCGGGGACAGGCCTGGAGAAGCTGCCCCCGGCCACGAGCCAGACAGAGGAACTGGCACTGCATTCTGGCGGCAGGATGGGGCCACGGAAGGTCGGAGTGATCTGCGGGGCGGGCGGTGCGGATCTGAATGGCGTTTGGGGCCTGGGAGGACCACAAAGTCTTACAGAGACTGAACGGTGAATGAGCATGAGGAACGGGGCTCCAATGCCGGGTGACAGCTTGTCGGGGTAACAGGGTCTCTGGAAGGGAGGACATGGGAAAGGGGGATCTTTGTGCTCAACTCCCCCTGACTGTGCAGCCCAGCGGCAGCTTTCTCATTGGCTCCCCACCAGCTGGAAGGCCTCCCCAACCCCAAATCCTACCAGGGCTTACTCAGGACACCCCAGGCTACTACAAAATGACGGCTGCTCAATTCCTGAGGTCCCAGAACCCCAAGTCTCTCTCTCTGCACCCTTGTACTCAGGGGCAGAATAGTCTTCAGGTCCAGGACGACAAGGCAAACAAAGAAACGATGGACCCCCTGGAGGGGGAACCACGAGAACTTGTTCTCACCAATACCACCAGCTTGAAGAGCACTGGGCCTGGTGCTTTGGGCCAACGCCTGGGCCACGACAGGAAGACTGCACCATGAATCGGGCCCACGCTCCTTACCTGGCACTCGAGGCGACTTAAACGGGGCCAGGCTGACCTCTCTAGTCTTGCCGCCCAGCTGCCCGGCATAACTTTCCACTCCGGCCAGACCCGCCCTCTCACTGGGCCCAGCTCATTCTAGTCCTTACACACTTCCCACCTCCCCGCGTCCTATTCAGCCTTCAAAGTCCAGCTCAAGTCCCACCCCCTGCTTTTCCTGACCACCCCAGGAAGCGATCACTCCTCTGAACACTGAAGGACTCGGTGACCCCTCCCTCTGCACCCAGCAAGGCACTGGTGAGGCCACCAATCCCTCCTCTCGCGCACATTTCCCTCTCCGCAGCTCCTTGGAAAAGTCCCTGAGGACAGACCGGAGCCATGATTCCTTGCGTCTCCAGCGTTAGCCCCGCTCGCCGAGTCTAGTGCTCTGCACACAGTCAGTGAGAAATCCCAACTGTCCACCTGGGGACGGATCTGGGAAGGCCAGCAGGCTGACAGACAGCACAAGCTGCAGGGCAAACACAGGCAAAGCCCCTGCTGCCTTATCGGTGACACAGGGTGGGGAGGAGGGAGGGTGTGCTAAGCTAAACCTAACCTGTTGGTTAACAAATATCATTTTAGGTGACCCTAAACTTTTAGTGTTATAGTTCAAGTTACTTTTACTGGGATCCCAACTACACATTGAGAACGGCTCAGTCACCGGAGCAGAGGGGCGTCTGCCACCGGGCGACCGCATGCTCCGACCCCTCTCCACACGCTGCAAGGC